TGCATTGTAACCCAGCTGCAATACCCCTCTCAATGGCTTGAGAAATAATGGCCTCCATGTTAGATGGGAATTGGCCTTGCTGTTGCTCTCCTAAAATAGCTCCCTAACCCAGAAGGAAAGGCAGCCTCTGTAGCAGAGAATCTATGCCTGACAGGCTGTTGCCATGCCACTTGGGCAGAATTGGGATCAGGGAGAGAGCCAAATAGAGCCTGCCTGTTGTCAGGCAGATTATCAGTCAGAAATTGCTCAGGAGCGCCATCTGGTGACAGAGGCTGCAATAGCCGGCTGTCATCCACAGGACTTAACTGCCGCTCCTGAAAATGGCGGGAAACCCCAGAAGATTGACTCTGAGGGACCCCACTAGAGCTACCAGATGCCCTGGCTACCTTCTTTTTAAGTGCCTTCTGGCACCTGGCAGCATCCTTCTCAGCAGCCTTAGAGGGCTTTGCGGCTCTCCTAGATCTCTTAGAGAGCTTAGCCGCTGCCCTCCTACTAGCTGACCTAGATTCAGAGACTAGAGCCCCATTAGCCACCTTCCTAGAGTCCTCACCCGGCTCCAGCAACGATCTCCGAAAAGCAGCCTCACCATTGACATCGGGAACCGCATCTGCCATTTTAAAGGCAACCGCGGCACAGCTGCGATCAAAGGTGGTATCCAAGCATGCTCGCGAGTATTTATTTATTTATTTATTTTTATTTGTTTCCATTTCTATACCGCCCTTCTCCAAATAGGACTCAGGGCGGTGAACAGCCAAAGTAAAAAACAGAACATACAAAATTTAAAAACAGTTTAAAATAATTAAATATTTTGGCCGTAAATTAACACAACCCAATTTAAAATCAATTTAAAATTTAACTCAAGCCAGCCCAGCTAGTTGAAATAAGTAGGTTTTCAGGGCCCGACGAAAAATCTGGAGGTCTGTTATTGTACGTATCTCTGGGGGGAGGTTGTTCCAGAGGGTGGGTGCCACCACAGAGAAGGCTCTCTCCCTGGGGGTCGCCAGCTGACATTGTCTGGTGGATGGCACCCTGAGGAGGCCCACTCTGTGTGAGCGTACTGGCCGGTGGGAGGCTATTGGTGGCAGAAGGCGGTCTCGTAAGTACCCCGGCCCTAAGCCATGGAGCGCTTTAAAGGTGGTCACCAACACCTTGAAGCGCACCCAGAAGACCACCGGGAGCCAGTGCAGCTCGCGCAGGACAGGTGTCACATGGGAGCGCCTCGTCGCCCCCATAATCCCCCGCGCGGCCGCGTTCTGGACCAGCTGGAGCCTCCGAGTGCACCCCAGGGGGAGCCCCATGTAGAGAGCATTGCAGTAGTCCAGGCGGGAAGTGACGAGTGCCTGAGTGACTGTGTGTAGGGAGTCCCGATCTAGAAAGGGGCGTAACTGGCGTATCAGGCGAACCTGATAAAAAGCCCCCCTGGCCATGGCCGTCAAATGATCTTCTAAAGACAGCCGTGAGTCCAGGAGGACGCCCAAGTTACGAGCCCTCTCCGTGGGGGCGAGTGATTCGCCCCCAATAGCCAGCGATGGAGTAGAGACTCGGGAATTGGGCCCCTGGCTCCAGCGACCAAAACGGGGCGAAGAGAGTGTGTCCGGATAGGACAGGGACTCCTCTTTCCGGCGACCACTGTCCTTTGACAGCTCGGGCTTTGCTGTCATCCCAGCCACCCTTCGGCTCAAAGCGGAGTGCTAAGCTCCCCACTGAGCCGGAATTCACAAGAGCCAATGTCCAGGCTCTGGGTCAGCGCAGCGAGCAAGCTCGATCTGGCTGCCCAGTCAAGATCACCAGCCGGTGGCCTGACTTGCCGCAAAGCGGCCCTCAGCGGGCCCGTGCTGGAAGCACTTCGCGCTGGAATCTAAGCCAACTAAACTGTAAATAAAAAGGGGAAAAGTCTACAGAAAAAGCAATATCCAAGCAATCAGCAAGCATTCAGGAATGGTTGACCAAGCAAAGACACATCTGTCCACCGCCAGGACTGAGACAGAAACTGGGGACTGTTGGTGTAGGCGTGTCTTCACAGCTTTGACAGTCTCAGTCCTATTGGCTAGCAGACGAGGACAACCCATTCCTGGATGCTGCCACCACTACAATGGAGAACACATCTATTTGGTGCTTTAATAAGATTACCAGGCATATAGTTCAGGACACAACTCATATTTCAAAAGTAGGCAATACATGAGTAAATAAAGAGCCAGTTTGATCTAATTGTTAAGGCATTGGGTTATAAAGCAAGAGTCAGTAAGTTGAAGTCCTGCCTTGGCCATGAAAGCCACCTTGAGCTTACTTACTCTCAACCCTATTCATCTCACATGGGTGCTGTGGGAAAAATAGGAAAAGGAAGATGTGTTGGATATGCTCACTGCCTTATAAAAATAAAAGGATATAAAATCAATACATGATTTTAGCGCATCTTTGTAGTCAGTTTGCATTCAGGAAAGTAGGACTCGTGACTCCATTTAGTTGAAGCAAAGGAACTTTTACTGAAACTGGTTGCAGCAAAGCGAAATCGGGTGTTTCCACGCAAAATACAAAACTATTATTTCCAATTCCCAATCCCTCCCCCCATGAGATCAGTCTCTCAGCCAGCCAATGTGATGCCGGTAAGATGGTTTGAGAAACTGAGGTATGAAACTAATAACATTCCATTCTCAGGGCAAATGGCCTTGAAGATCCTGCTGGTTTGGTGATCTGTTCTTCTTCCATTGTCATTTCCCCCTCCCATTCCCTATTACCACCACCACCCCATTTCCCACTATTTGACACATATGTATGGATTGCCCAAAATATCTCCTCTCTCCCTTCCCCTTTAATAGCAGGAACCAAGCAAGGTGCCAGGCTGAAAATGGAGACCCTGACACCTTGTAGCTTTTGGGAACAGCTTCTAGGAGTTGCAGCAAGCATAAATGTATCCAGAACATAGTAATCCTTTCTTTTTAATCAATATTGGTCAATACTACAATTCTTTTTCAATATCTGTAAGATGATCTGGTTAAACCAGACAGGAAATGTGACAGATGATTGATTGATGACAGATTTGATTTATTGTAAGGCTAATTAACAGAAGTTAATGTTAGCACAAAAGTTCCTGCCAACACCTTTAACTGCATGTTCTATTAGGGCAGAGTCCTTTCTAAGTTTCTTTCTCTGACAGTTGAACCACTGGGGGCACATGTTTCTTGTCTGATTTCCTAGGCAGCATTTCATCCCCACTGTTTCCTCAAGGTCATTCCCACATTTTGTTAAAAATCTAACCCCCCAAGACTGAATTCTTTCCTTGCTCCTTTTAATATCCATGTGGGAAGACACTTAAAAGATATTTGAACACCTTCCAACCCAGTTCTTATATTCACAACTATTCACTCACCAATGAACATACCACAGTTCACTAAATCTGTAGGGGTATCCACTGGCAGTAAGTGACCAAAGAATTACAAAAAATAAAATTAAAATGAGAAATACACTACTGCATCAAACCATTTTTACAAATCATTGTTTTCAGTCTACTACTTTATAAATTGTTTAAACATGACCAGTGTCATTTCTCTCCTTGAAAATGGATTAATAATTTGTTCAAAATCAATAAAACTAGTCTAATAACAAAAGGCAAACTTGTTCATGGATGCTGGAAGTACATAAGAGTTCAACATTTTAATGAGCAAATACACCAGATTGAATGAACTGCAATTGATGCCTGGTATTTAGATTTTTTAAACACAGAAATATAAAAATCCTAAAGACCTAAAGGTTAATAATGTTTCCAAAGAGGTACAAGAAGTCAGTTTAATCTCAGTTGTTGAATAAGCTACTATTGGTTAGATTCCAACATTACACTAGTTTGTAAACATATTTAAAAATAAAAATCAGGGTACCACCAATAAAGCAATCCACAGAATGCTAACTCAGTGTCTTCCAGAGCAAGGTATTATTTGGTTGATATGGGAGAAATCCCTTTTTGGTATTATGTTAGTACTGATCTATATAAACAGTTGCTCTCAAGATTGTGTATAAATATAACCAAGTATTATTATGGCTTTTGTTCTAAAATATGATTTTATATTCTCAATATAATATTGTTATATTAATAATGTAACAATAGCAGTTTTGCTCTCTTGATCTTTAAAGGCAATCTGAATGAAATAGTATACATCAACACTATTCAGAAAATTGTTGATATGATACATTTCTCCTGATGTGCTCTGAGAACATAAAAGAAAAAATTGAGACATTTTGTGGTACACTTGAAAAAGGTATCTTCCTTGTTACCCTTAGATTAACCCCTTGGTGTTTCCAAGAACCCCCTTCTTGGAACGTCAGACAGATCTACATAGCTGTCTTGAAATTTGTATATCCAGTGAAAATATATCCAGTAAAACATAGCAAGTAGTCACCAATATCCACAAACATTTAGGAAAAACATCATACTTTTCACAAAGTCATCAGGTATTACTGGCCAATATCTACCCTTCAAACTTGAAGCTATTTCATCTACATATATCTTGAACTGGATTAGGCATCAGAATGAGTTGGAAACAATGACATTACCACATACATATACACAACATTCATACTATGCAGTTTTGAGAACTTTTTGCTAATTAAACAGTACATCATGCATATTCTAGATACGTAAACAGGAAACACTATTATGGGAAGAGGGATAAAGCTAACATATTTCAAACTAGTCCAACAATATAAAAGGAGAAAACTTTTAAATTCTAGTTAAAAGAAACTTTTAACTATAAGTAGGCAACTTTTGTTTGCCTAGCATATACTTTTATTCAAAGGCCATTTAAAAAGTTGCTTAGATGTAGCATGTTGGCTGCAAGCTTTCTAGCTCTCTCTCTCTCTCTCTCTCTCTCTCTCTCTCTCTCTACATACATACATACATACATACATACATACATATATATATATATATATATATATATATATATATATATAGTTCATCCACACCCCACTTTTGCTTTATTTCTGGGGTAAATGATTTGCTAATCTGATTCAGAGCTAAAAATTGCGGTCTTTTATTTAGTTCATGTCTCACCAGTGAATGCATTTAAATAAGGTTTAACATATAAGGTTTATACCATGAATTACTCAACACACAAGGCAAAAAGCAAATCTAAAAGTCAGTTGTGAAACTTTAGTGCAAGAAAGTTAGTGATAAAGCATTTTAATTTTTTTTAAAAAATACATTTCAGAAATAAACACTTTCCTTTCAAAGTAAGCAGTGGTATTCCTGAAATGAATGGTTAATATTAATATCATTTTTGAAACTGTAAAACTATTTTGATTTTTACATTTTTCTTTTGTTTATTTTAAATTATACTGGCTACATTCTCATTCAGATTTGCAAACATAAATTATTTAATCAGTTACTAAGTCAGGAAGCGATCTTTAGATATTTGAATGTAACTTTCTGAGCCAGCTAAGAATGGAAATGTTGGGGTTGTTCTTAAAAACAAAATCTATTATCATTCATTTTTAACTAGAATGAATGAAATTAATCTTAATTTTGAACTTCATATCTTTATATAAAGATTAGCTATCTAATCTGGCATCTAGACAGAGAATTAAGCAACAATCTTCTATTTTCTCCTATTCCTTAAAATGTTTATATATGTTTAGGATAAATATATTAGTTTGATTAAAAACATTTGGTAAAGCCGTGAAATTGAAACAATTGCATGAATAAACAAGTTGTGTGATAACTAAAAAAACCCTGTTTATGCTTAGGTGTATTATATTTTATTCACTGAATTTGAACAGGTAACAAAATCTGTATTTTGTGAAAGTGCTTCAGTTGCAAATACAACTTAAGTGAAGTCATTTTGGAGTTATTTTCACTCACCAGATCAACATTAACTCAAAACTTTTGTTCAAGTTCAAGGCTAACAAAGCTTTCTAAACATATCTTTTAGACATTTAATAGTGCATATCATCTATTTTGTGCAAACCTCTGAGAAATACTATCACGAATCTCAGTCAAAAGCATTAAAAGTATCAAACCAGGGCACATCAGCAGAGAATGCATAATCACAGTTCACCGCACTGGAAAGGAATGGTAGAATGGTAACTTTCTAGAATATTACTAAGTAAACTCTGTTCATGCTATGGCATGAGCCATTCTGCATAAAACACATGTTAATTTTTCAATACAAGAATACATTTTAAAATTTATAAGTACAAAAAATAGCAATAGTTTTCAAAAACTTTAGCAGTTCCTTTTTGTAAACACTTCATGTGCAGAATAGATGGCAATTTAGCAAAATTAGTTTTACGGGCAAGGGAATTTGGACTCTGAAGCAGATTTTAATTGTTACATTAACTTAGAAGCAATATAGGATCTTCTAGTTCATAGAAGGGTATTGAGCTAGTCTGGCTTTCTCCAGAGTCTGAATCATAAGGAGCATCTGGAAGTTCCATGAAACTACAGGCCAGTTGTTCATTTTCAACATCTAATCGGATATAGCAGGAATTATTAGAAAATTCCTCCTCTTCCACAGTGTTAAAATCCTGGGGAATATATAGCATCCCTGGGTAGTTCCTGCTCACTAAGTCACTTGTTGTTTTGAGTGAGATTTTCCTAAAGGCCATCAAATGCATATGAGAAAACTTAGAGTATTTGAAACGCTTAAACCCTAAAGATTCTATAGCAATTTTCCAGCTTTTCATCATCATAGCATGGCGATTCTGATGGGAAGAGTCAGGAGTGATAATAAGGAGCAATCCATTTAATACAAGTAGTTCATGGGCCTTTTTACAACATATCCATCGCTGATAGGGTGAAGGGAAATAAGAAAGGAGGAGGGAAAAGACCACAACATGAAATAGTTCTCCGGGCAGGGAATCAATAGGATTCTTCAACTGTTTCAAAAAAGCATCAATGGCATCCTGTGCAAGTTGAAGAGGTTGATGAATTTGAAGGTTTAAAAAGTCACATTTGTAGACACTCTGGGGGAAGAAATATAGATGCAATGATATACTTGGTATACAAGTAAATAAGATAATAACTCAGTTAAATAATTCTTAAAATCAGTAATAGAATTTTTCATTGATCAATTAATTACATTTTTATCTGGGTATAATATTTTTTAAGTTAAGCAAGTAGCATGCATTGGTTTCAGGTAATGTATGTGTGTAATTAAATCCAACTATATGGCACATCACTAAGTACTCAAGTTTTAACCACACTATAACTTAAGCAATGGCTTTAGATATACACTAGTAAAGCTGAAGTTTTCAGTCATGTGTCCATACTTTGGACTTAACTATTTATTAATATATTCATTTTCAACCTAAAAAACTATACTAGCAGATATTAATCCAAAGGGAATTGTAAGATTAGCATTCACTGAATATCTAATACATTTTATGTTTTGGATTGTTAATATTTCATACCTCAACAGCTGGGACAATATCAATACCAACAGTCAAAAACTCTTCAAACTTCAAAAATGGATTAAAGCAGCTGCCAACATCAAGTAATCTTATCTTTCCTGAAGGATGTAGCAATCTAAGTGGAAGAAAAAAATTGAAATCTCCCTCAGATTCCCCACAATCTTAATCATGGAAATTCTATTTAAAATAGTAAATATGTTGCAGTTTCAGAATTAATGAGCGAGTTTTATATAAAATATTTTTCTTTTTGATCTTTCAGGTAATAAGATAATGTTTGAACTGGGTTTTTATTTAAACAAATTTTGAAAGATATGGAAGATTCAGTGAACTTCTGGCTCATGACATACATATTTGGCAACATGGCCCCCAATTTAGCAACTATGTACCATGTTTTCCCAAAAATAAGACCCTGTCTTATATTTTTTCCACCAAAAAGGGCACCAGATCTTATTTTTGGGGGGTCGCCAACTGACTCACCTCACTTGCATGCATTGCCCCCGGCCTCTTTTTCGGCAAGGCTTTCCTGAAGGCTTCTCTAGCCAATAACAGAGCTCTGGATCGATCTGGTGCTCTGTTATCAGTTAAAGAGGCCTTCAGGAAAGCCTTGCCGGTTGCAGAAGAAATGGGCCGAGGTGTGCGAGGCCTGGCTGCAACTGTCCGAAGGTAAGTAGTAGGGCAGGTCTACCACCACCCTTCCTCACCCTAGCTTAATTTTTACCTGTGCACCCTGGAGTGGGCGAGGTCTTAATTAGGGCTTATTTTGGGGGGGTAGGGCTTATATTGGGCGCATGTGTAAAAATCAAGCTAGGACTTACTTTCTGAGTAGGCTGTATTTTTGGGGAAACACGGTATGTAACAAGAAAATTTGTTTTTTTTGAAATTCTAATATAAGAAGCTTTTGCTTAGCTACATACATACATATTATGATTATACAGGTTCTAACAAAAAAGCCTATTCTATATTTTTCATCTAAATTGGCTGCTTACTTCAGAATATTTTAATTCTATACATTATAGCCATGCTATATGAAAGAGGTACTTTATCTATTAGTAACAGTTTAATTGTCATGCTTTTCCCAATGAACTCTGAAACCTTTAGTTTAACAATGGTAATATTTTTATTGTTGTTAGAGAACCATAAAACCTATTCCTAATAAGAAAGAGTAACTGGTTGTATAAGAACGTTGTATATGCTTTATGAGAAGATATAAACCAACCAAAGCTAAGCATTTAAATCACATTGGTTTAAACAGGAAATCAAGATCACACAATTAACTAATGTATTAAGCACAGTAGTGCTCAAAAGTGTTATTTATCTAAGTTAATAAATTCAAAGTATATTACAAAAATTAACTTCCTATTCATAATCACATCACAATTACTTACTCATCCATTACAGAACTATGGATTGAATTATCAGTAGAAACTTCCATTTTTGAACTTGCATGAATGGTGATAGTTTGAATGCTTTTAGTAGCAAGAGCTGCTCTTTTCTCATCTTTTTCCAGTGCTTTCCGTTTTCCACCATTATGAAAATATTCTCGGGATACACTTAAGGAAAGAAAGGCAAATAGCTTTTTAAAAAACAAACATGCCTATTACACCCATGATTTAAAACACTGTAATTATTCCAAATTACAATAGTGTAAGTTAATTATACTTCATCAAAATGCATATAAAATTAACAATTAGATTTAAGCTAAACACAGAAACTGTTCAGTATTGTACAATTCTTTCAGAGACTCATGCAGTACTGTAGAATTGCATGGACCTCATTATTTCCCCCTTTTATTCTTCATTATTTTTCTTCCCTATGCATCTTCAGCACTATTTTCTATAGCAAATTACTCTTTCTAGAAAACACTTACAGTATATTTCTTAAATCATCTAGGAATTTAAAACAATGATTAAACTGTCAGTTCTTTAATATGATTGCAAGTTAAAGACTATAGGTAGTTCTCATCTTACAACCATACATTAACGATCAAAATTACTATGACACTGAAAAAAGTGATTTACAACCAGTCCTTGGATTTATGACTGTCGCAGCATTCCCATAGTCACATGATTACAATTCAGGTACCTGGCAACCAGCAGTAATTTACAATAATTGCAGCATCCTGGGGTCATATGATCACCATTTGCAACTTTCCCAACCAGCTTCCAACAAAGTCAATTGAAGAAGCCAGATTTCCTTAAAGGCTGATTGAATCACTTAACAACTGCGGTTATTTGCTTAACAACTGTGCCAAAAAAAGGTAACTAAACTGGGTGCAACTCACTTAACTGCCTTGCTTGCAACAGAAATTCTTGTCCCGATTGTGGTTGTAAATTGAAAACTACCTTTACAAAATTCCTGTGTCTATGCCACAGAGCTCATAAACTAGGTTCACTTATGGCTTTATATACATATTAGAAAGCATGAATGCATACTGTATGGGATTCTGTGGGACATTACAGATTCAGTGCCACAGGGTAATGCACAAGCTCCAAATTACTTTTGAAACCAAATTTGCAAATAAAATGGACGTTGGTCTTACCTGATACGTCCGTTCTCGACTTTCAGTCCTAATCCACACAACTGGGTTAATAGGATATTATAGTTATTGATATTATAGTTATTGGTACTTAAAGCAGCCAAAAGGTTACAAAAAAATCAACTTTATTTATTTATTTAGATCACTTTATTATTTTTACAGTAATTCAAGGTGGTGAATATATACAACACATCTTCCTCCTCCTATTTTCCCCACAACATTGGGGGTGATTTGGGCTAAGACTGACTGGCCCAAGGCCACCCATCTGGTTTTTGTGGCTAAGGCGAGACTAGAACTCAAGTCTCCCACTTTTTAGCTGGGTGATTTAATCACTATACCAAACTGGCTTTCATCATAACACCCAATCTTTCTTTGAATACAGATCTTTATATTAAGTTTTGTTTTGAGCAGAACTTAAATCTAATACATACTATAGAGTTTTGATCAGATTTGTTTCAGATTGAAACTCTCCATATATTCAGAATTTCAACTCTCAAGTAAGGACAATGTATTAGGACAATGTAATTGAAAAACTGGTGGTGGGCATTTACAGTTTACTTCTGGTAAAGATAATGTTTTATTCAAGAATACCTGGAACTGGATTATCATCATTTGGTTGCTATACTTAGGCTAAAAACAGAAAATTCATAGTTGGTTGATAGTTGCTATTAATGTTTAGGTCCAATGAACTTTTTTCTCAAAAATGTCTCACAAATTTCTATTTCATTACTTTTTTTTTTTCTTTTAGACACTGATAACCTTCTGGACCCATTCAGCCATCCCCTGAAGAATGATTAGAAATAATAAAGGTTAAGAGTATAGGTAGATAGTTGGAGCTCTTCAAGCATCTTTTCCATATACTCAGACTGCAAAATACATCTTTCAAAACTGGAAATGTATAGTACTCCCACTATCTTCCAAAAAGCCTGAGAAACATTTGTAATATTCTACAATATTTTCTTTCTTTGACTATATATTTACCTGCAGCACCATTCAATGCGACCTTCTCCTTCACAAGTTTTAGCCCAGTGATTATCTGCCAAGTTTTTTCATTGCCTCAGCATATTCACAGAGAGTTTCTTCATCCTCACAATGTTCACGCCATATTTTATCAAAGTCACCCACTAAACAAAAATACACACACATAATATGAAAGCAGCTATTAAAACTTCACTGTAAAAGTAATCAGGTAAGCTACAGTATATTCCTATATATTTTCTACTTAACAAAACCCACTGTGTACTATGATATTATAAAACAACTGATCCATACAATTATACTCCTTCTCAGGCTTACTTGAAGATATGAATATATCCATTAGGACATCATCAATAAAAAGCTCATTCCCTGTGATAAGGAAACATTTTGTGCCATGATTTCTGAAGTGAAGTATTTTTAAAAATAGAAGTCATTCCTTCAAGTTTCCTTTCCATGCTTGGTAAAAGATTTGTAATTCTCTAATCAAAAGCATTTACTTGATTTTTGTCTTAGCAGGCAAACTGCACATACCAAATTATTAACACAATGAACTATTGCGCCAACCACCATTTCTTGAAATTTCTCATCACAGCAGCACAATTGACACTGAAGATTGTATAGCAAGGGTGCAAAATCTCAGGCTCAACTAAGGCACCATTGCTCAGGCCTGAGATCTGGAGCTTATCATTTCAAGGCATTCACAAATAACTTGACATGGCAGACTGCCACAGCTCTATTTGGTCTTCACCTGCAGCCAACCAAAATTGGCTGACTTTAACAAAGGAGGAACATCACGAAGCAACTGGTTCCACTGAACAGTGTGTGAAAAAATCATCATACACACACACATGCACACACAGGGTGTCCACTTAAAAGGAAATATTGTTTAGATTTTTATCTATTTCCCCAGTGAGGTTCATGTAGCATTCAAAAGAATAAAACAAAACTTTATTTAAAAAGTTAAGCATAAAAATTAAAGTTCATTAAAAAAATCTAAGAAGCTGAAGCAATTGTTCAGTAAAAACAGCCAACTAAATAGGCATGTCTTCAGCTATTGATTAAAGAACAGTATGGAGATATAGGAACAAGTTTTAGAGTTTGGAATTGCCACCTCGAAGGCCCTTATCATCACACTGTGAATTGAATCCTTTAGTGAAAAGAAAAATTGGGCCTCTCTACTTGATTTTAATGCAGGAGTTGGGTGATATCAAGAGAGAAATTTTTAAAAAGTATTTGACTCCTCAAATATTTAAAGCAGGGGTCCCAACCCCTGGTCCACAGCCTGTCAGGAACCAGGATGTGCAAGTGAGTGAACCCCTTTCCACACACGCATACGATCCAGGCAGCACAGGAAACCATACCCATCCCGGTTTGTGGAAAAACCATTCTCCACAGAAGCAGTCCCTGGTGCCCAAAAAAAAGGTTGGGGGGCCACTGATTGTAGATGACAATTAATAACTTGAATTAGGCTTGGTGCTGCAAAAGCAGTAAAGGCAGCTTAATTCCTGGGCCTCAGAACTATCTATTCATAGTGTTCCGTATGAATTCAGCTTCAGTTTCCTGGCTGCACCCACTTTCCTGGTCTTTAGACCAGCACAATCTCCTCTGATTAAGATGGGAAGAGGAGATAAGAATACTGATACCAAATAACTCAACTACCACACCAAAGTGGCTTTATGGAAATACTAGAAGGCAGAAAAAAAAAACCTTGTGAGGTTGTCACTAAGCACAATGAAGCCAAATAGAAATCAATAATTGTCATTCTTGTGACCCTACAGTTTTAAAAAACATAGCCATGTTCGACTGTCTCTGCTAGATCTTGTTGTCATACTGGGCAAACTGTTAGATAAAAGGAAGCTTATTTATCCTCCCTAACAATAACAATCTGGCCACAATAACAAATTAATTAGTTCGTGATCACATTAATTTATGTGCAGCAATTATGTGGGCCAATTTAGAGCAGATTTTATCTTCAAAATTTGTTACAGTAGACTGCTAAATGCTATGCTGAATCTGCCTCAGGACTAACTTTGAACAGCAACCTACTATCCAAGAAAGTTGTGCTGGATTCTTTTCTGAAAATGTAATCATAGCAGAGAAATGATCAATAATATATAATTCCTATTTATAATAAAAAATAAATAATTTCTAATCAACCTAGCTGACAACTTTGTTGTCCAAAAGGTAGAGGAGGGAACTAGAAGGACAGCCATATTGGATTTAATTCTTACAAAGAATAAGTGATAGAGGGAGTTGAAACCAGCAAGGAAGTAACAGGCAACAGAGAGAAAGCAGAGCTGCATAACTCATTCTTTGCATTGGTCTTCACGCAATAAGAAACAATTGTTGTGGTCTGCCAGCAGCCTGGTAGAAGAGTCAGACAGCGAGGAGGCTGGGGAGGAACATGGGCCAGTCCTGGAGTCTGGGGAAAGCTCGGACAAGGGCTCTGCATCGGAGGCAGAGTTGGGGCCAGGGCCATCTGGAAGTTATGTGCGGACTCCAGAGCCTCCAGAGTCAGACATCAGAGAGGCAGAGGAACAGGGGGAGCCTGTTCCTAGTGCGCGCATGCGCAGAGCTGCCAGAAGGCAAGAACAGTTAAAACAAAAGGAGTAAGGGTTGGAGATGATTGGCCCCTCCCATAAGACATAAAGGAAGAGCAAAGGCACGTGGGCCTTTGCAAGAAGCAACGTTGTGGATGGTGTCGGTTTGTACTTTGAAGCTCCGTTTTTGACTGTTTCCATGTGACCTTGCCAAGATAATTGCCAGTTAGGTCTTTGGCAGCGTGTTGATAAAGGTGGGTGTTTACCAGCCTTATCCGAAGGACTGTGGCAGACTTCTGTTGGACTATTTATAAACTCTTGGTGATTCAGCACGTGCTGTGAATGAAAGAAATTCACAGCTGTTAAAATTTAAAAAAGGGGTTTTGGGACTAATTATGTGCTTTTTACTATATCAGGAAGCCTAGGTCAGAACAACTATAGCCCAACCTACCAAAAACATAACTGTAAAAGACAGACTTGAAATAAAAGTTAAAATAAGCAAAAAAAAAAAAAAAAAGGTAAGACAACACCTGTCTGATCTCGATGAGTACAAATCACTGGGACCTGATGGATTACATCCCAGAATTCTAAAGAAGCAGGCAGATGTCATTTCAAAACCACTGTATCACATCTTTCAAAAATCCTGGCGCACTGGGGAACTACAAGAGGACTGGAAAAGAGCTGATGTGGTTCCCATCTTCAAAAAAGGGAAAAAAAACAGACCCAGGAAACTACAGACCAATCAGCCTAACATCAATACCTGAGAAGATACTGGAAAAGATAATTAAAAAAAAAAAAACAGATCTGCCAACATCTAGAAACAAGTAAAGTAATAATTAGAAGTCAACACAGGTTTGTTAAAAACAGATCATGCCAAATCAATCTTATTTCATTCTTCAACACAAGTGACTAAATTACTAGACCAGTGAAATACTGTGGACATAATATACTTAGACTTCAGTAAGGCATTCAACAAAGTAGACCACAAGCTTGGTAAACTAGAAAAAAAATGGGATAGATAGCATCACCATCAGATGGATTCGTAACTGGCTGACAAACCATACTCAACGAGTAGTCTTTAATGGTACTGTGTCTACATGGAGGGAAGTAAGCAGTGGGGTACCACATCTTAGGCCCAGTACTCTTCAATATCTTCATAAACGACTTAGATGAGGGAATAGAAGGGGAACTTACCAAATTTGCAGATGATACTAAGCTGGCAGGAATAGCCAACACCATATAGTCTCAAGATCTAGATGGATCTCGACAGACTTGAACACTGGGCCCGATCTAACAAAATGAAATTCAATGTAGAGAAAAGTAAAGTCTTACACTTAGGCAGGAAAAACCAAAAGACTGGGTGAAACCAGGCTTAATAGCAGAAACTGTGAGAAGGATCTTGGAGTCTTAGTGGACAACCAGCTAAATATGAGCCAGCAGTGTACAGCGGCAGCCAAAAAAGCTAGTGCAATCCTAAATTATATTAACAGAGGGATACAATCAAGATCAAATGAGGTACTAATACCACTCTATAAAGCCTTAGTAAGACCACATCTAGAATACTGGATCCAGTTTTGGTCACCACACTATAAAAAAGATGTTGAGACTCTAGAAAAAGTGCAGAGAAGAGCATCCGGGATGATTAGGGGACTGGAGACTAAAACATACAGTATGAGGAATGGTTGCAGGAACTGGGCATGGCTAGTCTAATGAAAAGAAGAGAAGGACCAGGGGAGACATGATAGCAGTGTTCCAATATTTGAGGGACTGCCATAGAGAGGAGGGGGTCAACCTATTTTCCAAAGCACCTCAAGGCTAAACAAGGAATAATGGATGGAAACTGAACAAGGAGAGATTCAATCTGGAAATAAGGAGAAATTTTCTGATAGTGAGAGCAATCAAACTACAGCCCGTGTATGGCCTGCTAACACAATGTATCCGGCCCAGACAGTGGTGGGATTCAGCCCCACCCCCTGCCCTGCTCCCCCCCCCGCCCCACCACTCCCATCTACTCCTCGCACAGTTGGCCTTTCTGCCGAAGAGGTTGTAGGGAAAAAAATGCCTTTAAAAACCTCAGCCCAGCTGAGTTGCCTGATTGGCAGAGGCTTCTAAAAGCCTCTGCCTCTTAAGGTTGTAGAAAACAATGCTTTTAAAAGTAAAAAAAAAAAATTGGCCACGCCCACCTATCGTGACTCGATGGTGCGGTAGGTGCGCTGCCACCGCCTGGGCGGGAGAGGAGAAAGAGAGATGGAGAGAGAGATGAAGGAGAGAAAGAGAGGCGGGGAGAAAGAAAGAGATGAGAGAGACACACAGAGATACCTGTTTAAAAGAAAATACTGGGAGCTGTCAGCCTCCGACTTTCTGCTTTGGCTGCCATAAGAAACGGGGGAGGGAAGAGCGTGGGGGAGGGAAGCAAGCTGGTGGATTTTGAAGAAACGAAACCTAACCACCGAAGTGGCTATCGGTCAACTGTCATCGCGTTCCTGATTGATGACGATGCCAGACGTGTTTCCACCTGACCTCTGGGAGACCTTTGGATTGGGTGATTGATGATGGACAGTGGGAGGGGATGCTTTCTATATGCAACTTTCGCGCCTATTGCTTCA